GGTGCAGTTTTAGTAAGAGATCATTAAGTATACGTTGCTGAACAAAAATGTTCTACATAATGTTTAATGAGTCCACATTTTTTCATGTAATCCCCCATGCTTTCTCCCTCATGTTGATTTTTCATACTTCTTTTAAATTTCAAATTAAAATAATTCTGAAGAAATTATTAGTGGAAAGTTAAAGCTTTATTTAATTTTATAAAGAATTGAACGTACTGAATAGTTCCACTTCAACATGAATGACTTGAGATAATACAATTTAATTATTTATCAGGCTATTTCGAACATCTCGTATTCTCATTTATTTTCTTGAGCTTTTTTTAAACTAGTTTGAGCTCAAATATAGTTGAACTAGTGTTTATTGAATTATTGCATTTAAATTTTTAAATTGAATTCTTTATAATTATTCACAATTGATATTTTACACTTGGTTTATTTAAATAAATTTCTTGTTTATTGTAATAAATAAGAAAAACACAACTGCAAACTTTTCTGTTTTTATTATTAAACTTATCTTTCCATGCAAAAATTTTCTATTATTACTAACTCTGGTGCGTCTAAAATAAGTCCAGAACTTGCCCTAAATATTAAAAAAAGAATTTCAAGTAATACTCATATCAATTCAGAAGAGTAAAATACAAAAAAAAATTATTATTTTAATTAATTTTAACTATTTTAAAAAAATTTAAAATAAAAAATTATGAAAATCATAGATTACACTTGAGGTGACATGATTAGTATGTTGGATAACTATTTAACTTTTTTGGTTGGTAAAAATCATTTAATTTGAAATTAATGAATTTGAAAAATAAAAAATTACATGAGTTAGCGAATTTACAAATTTTATCACGTTGTTTTATTTCTTTATCATCTTAGCTTTTGTCTATTAATTGGATCAAAGCTAAATATTTCTTTAGATCATTGATAATGGAAATTGTTTGGGAAATCGCCACTGAAAATTTGTTCTTTGAAAGTTATAAAACCTTCAAGTGCTTTATATTCCTATTTCTGGTGGAACGGTACCTTCAATGATATTAGATTTCCAATCCAAAGTTCAATTATGAGAATCTATTTTTTTTTTTTTAAAAAGGTTCAATTATGAGAATGCAGAAAGAAAGAACAGAAGCCTGTATTTCTTCAAACTTCAATATCAAGTCACCAATTTGATAACATGGATATTTCTTATACGAACGGTGAGTATATTTTTTTTTTTCATTTATAGTATTTTTATTTGTAATAAGTAATACACATAAAAAATTATTTTTTAAATACAATCATTTTTTTTAAAGAAATAATGACTAATTAATTAATAATAAAACTAAAATATAATTTAGATGGCCCAAATCAAAACTGAAATGCTCCAGATCCGTGGGTTGTAAGCTTTCATCATTTTGGAAAAAAAAAATTCTTCTAGACATTCTAAATGACATAATAGCAGTATTCTTTATTATTCACATGCTAGCCCTTATGAAATTTTGAGAACAGATATTCTCTCTACTTCAGTTCTAATTCGTGATTTATTGAAAAGAATATCAACGACTACATTTTTGAAAACAAAATAAAAAACTAATAACAATTTGTTTGTTAACATTATAAATAGTTTTAATTTCGTCCCTTAGCTTTAAAATGTATATCTCTAATCCTTTAAACCTAAAATTATTAACAAAAAATGATAATATTGAGATTTTAAATGTTGATAAAACATTTTCAAATGCTAACATATAAAGTTTAATTTTCAAAACAACTCTAATTGCTATAAGACATCATCATTTAAGCCTAACGATTTTAAAGTTAAAGGACAAAAAAAATATTTTTTAAAAGTTGAGCAACCAAATTAAAATATTGCATAAATTTAAAAAACTAAATGTATATTTTAGCTGAGAAAAGATTGATGTACCGTTCGTATGTTGATTGTATTATCAATTCATAATACTAGTAAGTACTAGTTTTTCTTTTCTTTTCATGATATATTTTTTTACATGTCAGAAGTTAATATGTACATGAATTAAATTTAAAGATTTGAAAATATTGTTTAAAACTTGCTCAATTTGAATGAGATAACATAGAACTAAAATTATTTTAAAATGACCCCAACCCTTAAATTATAATGTGTGTGTGTGTGTGTGTGTGTGTGTGATGTTGTGGCTTTTAATTGAACAAGGTATAAGTGATATGAATGAATGAGATGACAAAAAACAAAATCTCATTTTTGTTTTATTCTTACTAGAGAAAATGATCTAAAAGGAAAAATAAAAGATCATTTCGTGATTTGATCTTTTGATGCTTTGAGATTGTAAATTACTAACTATATTTTAATGAAACTAGTTTTGATACTCATCACACATGAACATTCAAATTTAATATATATGGCAGAGAATTATTTTTTTATTTTTTTTTAAAATGTGTTCTTTTAATAGGTAGATAATCCAAATAAATGCAATATTTTAACTGTAACTTTTTTAAACATAATTTTTATTTAAAAATTATTAGTTAAAAATTTTATATCTAGACCATTAAAACTGTATCTAAATAGTATAGATTTCACCGCAATGATGAATATCATGGTGCTCATCACTATGATGAGCACTGAGCTAGTTCCACATTTAAACCCCCACTACGGATGTGTATATGTACAATATTAATGAAATGATGGAAATAAAATCTCATTTTAAATTTGATCTGTTAGAGAAAATGATTAAAAAACAAAGAAAAGAACAAAAATAAGATATAATATCCTATGCTTCCAAAGAGGTTGGCATCCAAATATAATCTATTACCAACAACTGCTTGTAAAGAGAATGAACGGACTTATGTGTATGGGGGGAAAAAATGAATGAACTTAAAAGAAGAAAAATAAAACTGGCCTTTTTATTTGCATATAATAATATACATATATACTTCAACCAAAAAAAAAAAAAACTAAGCCTGTCTTACCAATATTAGAAAGGGAAAAAGCAAATACCTTATAATCATGACATTGCATATACTACCTTCTAGCTAGTAATTGCCAATAAATCATGTGTTACGCACAACCATATAAATAATCCATGTAATTAATAGAAAATAATTTAAGTTTTGTTGGAAAGCTTAATAGTTCCATTTGTTCAAGATCTTAGCTTTATTTGTTATTTTGGGATTGTAACCACCAGCTGTATATAAGCCCTATCATATGAATTATGAACAATATGAACGAAATGATGAAAAAAGACTTTCATTTTAGAGAAAAAATATTAAAAAGAAAAGAAAACACAAAAGTAAGTGCATACCTGTAAATGAGTTTGAATCCAAATACAATTCTTTTAAAGATGAGCTGTTACTTATTGACTGTGGAATGCTTCCCTCTAATTGATTACCAGCAACACCAAAGATTTCAAGTAAAGGGAGATGATGAAACATTTTTTCTGGCAAATTACCTAGAAACATATACAAAATATTTGTTAATTAGTTGACTAGGAATTTCATGAATTCACACTTAACTATATAAATAATGAATGGAGTTGTGTTAATTAGAGGCTTAAAATTATTATAAAATAATTTAGTTTTTATTGGAATGCAATTTAAAAGCAGGGACTCTTCTAATATATGAACAATCGAACAGTAAAATTTCTTTCAAAGAAGGAATGCTAAAGATAGATTATATAATTAATTTCACCTATTTTAAATTGACAATCAAATTATTTATAGCTTTCATATAAATTATTTAATACTTACAAGGCTCTAACTTTGAATATGATAAATTCTTTATAGGAAAATTTAGTTTTCATTATTTAAGGAGTTAAAATACTTCCAGTTACACATTCTGGAGATAATATAGTATAAATAGTAAATGAATTTTTTTACCAAAGCACTGTATACTAGAATTTTCACCCTTAAAGCAATTTAGGTTAAAAATTTTGCAGGCAATGCAGAATAAGCATAAATAAAAACTAAAAAATTTGTTAAAGTGTAAAGGGCTGTATTGTAGTATCCTTTCTTCTAAAGTAGACATGTTAATGGAGTTGTGTGTGTATTACATACATACATATATATATATATATATAGACACACACATATAAGACATATATATGGGGAATATATACAAGATTCCATACACACACACACACACACACTGTTTTCAGACTATTCGGAATGTGTTATCATTTTTTCAATTATATATCCTTTGCATGCTAAAGACTTACTCATTTTTAAAAATAACACGATTATATAATTAACTAAAATTATTTAAAAAAGGCATGACCCTTAAATGATAATATATTATTTTTTATGTAAGGCATGATGTTTTTCTTTCTCCGCAGGATCAAAGAAACATTGAAACCCAACTATAAGTCCTTCTCTTCGGGCTCCCATGTTTTTCACTTTTAGATATGTGTGTAAAAATTATATATAAATAATAAATAAAATTTTTTGTTAAAGTGTAAAGTTAAGGGATGGTTAGATCCACCTTACTTGCAAAGGGGTTGTATTGTAGATATACTTTCTTTTAAAGAAGAAATGTTGATGGAGTTGTGTGTGGAATGTTTTATCTTTTTTTTTAAACTATATCTCCTTTGCATGTTAAAGACTCGCTCGTTTTTTAAAATAACGCTAACATATAACTACAATTTTTTTTTTTAAGACATGACTCTTAAAGGATAGCATATGTTATGTTTTATGTAAGGCATGAGGCTTTGCTTTCTCAGCAGGATCAATGTGTGATTCGTTGAGAAATTTAGATGATAGAATATAATGAAAACCAGTCACCGACAAGAAAATGCAGCCGAAAATATAAAACAAGAGGCTACCAAAAAAAAAAACACATTGAACCCCAACTAAGTCCTTTTCTTTGGCCTCGCATGTTTTTCAATGATTCAATATTTTATTTCAATTTTTGACATCTTTGTGAAAATTTTATATAAAAGAAAGCATACTCATTTTGGGATTGAGAGAAAGAATCAAGTTCCATGTCTTTAAAAGTAATCTAAAAACAAAATTTAAAACAATCATATAATGAAAACTCTTACCTTTCAAGTTGCGTCTGCCAAGATATAGCCACTGAAGTTTGGTCAAATTTCCAAACTCACTTGGAACGGTTCCTGGATTGAATTTGTTATCCCCGAACCTCAAGTCTGCCAATTCCTTGCATTGATGCCAAATGGAGGGCATCTCCCCTGACAAATTATTTTTATGGACAAATAATCTTTCAAGTTTCAGAAGCCCAAAACACAAATTTGTTGGCAGACTCCCACTTAAATTATTGTTGCTAAGTTCAATGTGTTGTCGCACCGAACTATTAAATATAGAGGTTGGTATAGAGCTCGAAAGCTGATTATTTGGAAGATATATCTTCTGTAGCCGTTGAAGATCACCAATCTCAGTTGGAATGGCTCCTTCCAATATCAAATGATGAGCAATGTGTCAGTATTAACTTTCATAGCATCCACCTTAAGTATCATGAGCCATAAATTGTAATAACAAGATCATCAAGTTCGGTATTGAAATAATTAATATGCATAGCAAAAATTATTATTTCGCCGCCATATAAACATTGAGAGATGATAATCAACAATTAATTTAATTTAAATACTAAAACGTAAAAGAAGGAGAGGTTAAGAGTATGCAAGAATTTTCTAAGCATGTATTTTTGTATTCATGTTTACAATATGACATTTGCCAATCCAGTGTATCATTTTATGTCAACATTTTTGTCAATTTGTTACCAGCTAAATGATTTCGTACATAGGGACAATTCAAGATCAAATCCATAGGCCCGTCATTGGCCAAGGAAAAAAAAATCCGTAGGCCAGTCAAGATTATTGGTGTAGCTGATGAAAACATGTTCAAAGCACGTTGTTAACGTAATACGAGATCCATAATAAAAAATAATCATTTTTGTTAGTATTTTTGGTGGAGTCATAAAGCATGTCCTAATTATTTTAAACTTTTAAAATCCAACTCACCTAAACATTTATTTCAGAAATAGAGAAAAAAATAATATCATCAATATAAAATGTAAAAAAAAAAAAAAAGTAAAACTACTTGGTAAGTAATGACAAACACAATTCATTCTATTCATTAGAGATCCGTGGGTTGTAAGCCTTTATTATTTTTAAAAAGCAACCCTTCTAGATATTCTAACTACTTCAGTTGTGATACCTGATTTATTGAAAAGAATATCGATAAATATTAAAAAAATGATAAAAATACAAAAATGGGGACCAACAAAAACACATTATCATTGAGGTTTATAAATGAGTTAATAGCAGTATTCTTTATATCCATGCTGGCTTTTACGAAAGTTTGAATGCATTGTGGAATAGGAGCAAATATGCTATCTACTTTCACGATTTGTTGAAAAGAATATCGATAATTACATCTCTAAAAAAAAAAAACTGATACAAAATGCGGAAAGGAACCCCAAAAAATTGGGATAAACCCAAAACCCACATGACAGAGAGATAGGGTTTATACCCTGCTAACTAATAATAGACAAGTTTAGAGCAAAACACAAATATAAATATAAAAAATAATCCAAACATACTTGACACACTGTTATAAAACAACGAAAGTTGCTCAAGTGAAGACAAGTTGGAAATTGTTTGGGGAATCGCTCCAGAAAGCTTGTTATTTGAAAGTTCTAAAACCTTCAAGTGCTTTAGACTTCCTATCTCAGGTGGAATGGTACCTTCAATGATATCAGATTTCCAATCCAAAGTTCAATTACCGGAATGAAGGATCATTGGTAAAGAAAAAAGGACAGAACATAAAAAGAACAGAAGCCTGTATGCCCTCAAAGTTCAATATCTACACATTGTCACGTTGTTTTATTTCTTTATCATCTTAGCTTATTTCTATTAACTTGGATGAACAATACAAATGAAATGATGAAAGACAAAATCTTATTTTGGAGAAAAATACTATAAAGAAAAGAAAACACACAAGTAAGTGCATGCCTAAAAATGAGTTAGCACCCAAATATAATTCTTTCAAAGATGTGCAGTTGCTTATTGATTTTGGAATGCTTCCCTCTAATTGATTAACGCCAACATTGAAGATTTCAAGTAAAGGGAGATGATGAAACATTTTTTCTGGCAAATTACCTATAAACAGATACAAAATATTTGTTAATTAGTTGACTAGGAATTTCATGAATTCACACTTAACCTTTTAAATGATGAATGGAGTTGTGTTAATTAGAGACTTAAAATTATTAGAAAATAATTTAGTTTTTATCGGAATGCAATTTAAAAGGGACTCTTCTAATATCAATGAAAAATCAAATAGTAAAATTTCTTTCACAGAAGAAATGCTAAAGATAGAGTATGTAATTAATTTCACCCATTTAAAATAAACAATCAAATTATTTATAGCTTTCATATAAATTATTTAATACTTAAAAGGCTCTAACTTTGAATATGAAAAATTCTTTATAGGCAAATTTAGTTTTCATTACTTAAGGGGTTAAAATACTTCCAGTTACATAGTCTGGAGATAATATAGTATAAATAGTAAATCAATTTTCTTACCAAAGCACTGTATACTATAATTTTTCACTCTTAAAGCAATTTCGGTAAAAATTTTGCAGGCAATGCAGAATAAGCATAAATAAAAACTAAAAAATTTGTTAAAGTGTAAAGGGCTGTATTGTAGTATCCTTTCTTCTAAAGTAGAAATGTTAATGGAGTTGTGTGTGTATTACATATATATATATATATATATATATATAGACAGACACATATAATACATATATATATGGAATATATACAAGATTCCATACACACACACACACACTGTTTTCAGACTATTCAGAATGTTTTATCATTTTTTTCAATTATATTTCCTTTGCATGCTAAAGAACTACTCATTTCAAAAAATAACACTATTATATAATTAACTAAAATTATTTAAAAAAAGGCATGACTTTTAAATGATAAAACGTTATTTTTTATGAAAGGCATGAGGTTTTTCTTTCTCAGTAGGATCAATGAAACCCAACTATAAGTCCTTCTCTTCGGCCTCCCATGTTTTTCAATGATTCAATATTTTATTTTAATTTTTGACATTTTTGTGAAAATTGTATATAAAAGAAAGCATGTGTTCACTTAGGGATTAAAAGAAAACATCAAGTTCCATGTCTTTAAAAGTTATGTAACAAAATTATTATTCATTAAATTTGTACTGCAAATTTGTGATTTATCAAAATACTGGGAACATAATAAAGAAAAAATGATCACATAACTATTCTTACCTTGCAAATTACTGCTATGAACATATAGCCACTGAAGTTGCAATTTTAATATCTATTTGTTCATTTTTAGTATTTTCATTTGTCATAAGTAATATACATAAGAAAAAAATTAATTTTTAAATACAATCTTTTTTGGAAGAAATAATAATAAATTAATTAATTAATAATAAAGCTAAAACATAATTGAGATAGTCCAAGTCAGAACTGAATGCTCCAGATCCGAGGGTTGTAAGCCTTCATCATTTTGAAAAAAAAACAATCTTTCTAAACATTCCAGATGACATAATAGCAGTATTCTTTATTATTCCCATGCTAGCTCTTATGACATTTTGAGAACAAATATTCTCTCTACTTCAGTTCTAATTCGTGATTTCTTGAAAAGAATACCGACGACTACATTTTTTTTTAAAAACAAAAACTTATGAGAAATGAAACCATGCATATTGATGGTGGTCATCTTCTAGGAGTAAAAAAGATTGATAGACCATACATATATGTGATTGTATTATCTATTTATAATACTAGTAAGTACTAGTTTTTTGCTTTTTATGATATATCTTTTTCATGTCAGACGTTAATATGTACAAGACTTAAATTTAAAGATTTTAAAATATCGTTTAAAACTTGCCCATCTTGAATGAGATAATATAGAACTAAAATTGTTTTAAAAAGACCCCGGCCCTTAAATTATAATATATATTATTCTTTTCAGGTGAGGCATGTGGGCACATTATATATGGTGGTGTGCCTTTTAATTGAACAAAGTATAAGTGATATGAATGAAATGACAAAAAAACAAAATCTCATTTTTTGTTTTATTCTACTAGAGAAAATGATCTAAAAGGAAAAATAAAGGACAAATCATAGTACCATCGTTTCGTAATTTGATCTTTTGATATTTTGGGATTGTAAATTACTAACTATATTTAAACCCCCATTACCGATACGTATATGTACAATATTAAAGTAATGATGGAAATAAAATCTCATTTTAAATTTGATCTATTAGAGAAAATGATAAAAGAAAAACAAAGAAAGGAATAAAAATAAGATATAATAATCCCATGCTTCTAAAGACGTTGGCATCCAAATATAATCTATTAGCAACAGCTGCTTGTAAAGAGAATGAACCGACTTATGTGCATTGAAAAAAAATAAGAATGGACTTAAACGAAGATATATATAAAACAAATTTTTAAAAACAAGGGGAAAAAAAGGCTTTTTTTTCCCCCATGTTTGGCATCGCCGAATTATTAAAAAGAAACAAACTAGCTGGATTTAAAAATATCCCTAAATATGTAAACAGCTAATTATAAATGACCCAATAAAGAGATAAGACATCATTAATGAAAGTCAAAAGTACTCGAACCTTCGAATGTCGTGTTGTAACCATAAAATTATTTGTTAATACTGCTAAGATTATTTATCTAAAATCATGTTCAGAGCACTGAATCATCATCTTAATCATTTTAATTAGCCGCTACCCTTGAATGATTTATATAAATTATTTTTCTTGGATCGATGTGAGACTCGTTGACAAATTCGAATGGATTGTCTCTATATTAGAAAAGAAAAACTAAAAGCTTGCAATTACAAGGAAAATATAGGGGAAAATGTAAAATTAGAAAAAATATAGGGGATAATTGCAACACCTCACTCTCATATATACTAATAGGATCATTTCTAACGTCTGTGAATCACTAATACCAGGTTTCTATCCTGGGAGAAGACAGGGAAATTTTTTTTTCTTCTTTTTTATATATATATATATATACACTAACAAGTGATTCACACACTTGAACCCTACTTTTGAAACACGTGTAACAGGCACACAGATTTAAAACAATACTACTATTGTATAAGTACTACCCTGGTCATTCAGGACAATGACCCTTACCTGAGCACTAAAGTACATACT